AAGGAAGGCCAAGCAACTGTTTCTTGCGAGTCCGATCGGCACAGGGCCCAAGATTAACCTGGTGCAAATATGGAAGGAGTCTGTTCCAGACTCCAGTAGTCTTCTTCGGAAGCTCATACTCTGGCACAGGATCGGGAACGTTTGAAGCACTTTGTGACTGGTCTGCCTGCGTGACCGGAAAGGAGAAGCGGTCGTGGAAGATAAAGATGAAGTAGAGGAGGTTTTCGTGGTGCATAAGAATCCTTATCTTTTTCACGATTTTTTCCATGAATATCTGGTCAACCAAGATCTTAGTAATAGTGTAGAATTCACTTCAGAGCAGGAACAAAGTGGCCATATGTCGTTTCTTGATAATCTCATGAATAGATGCTGCTGGTACATTCTCGTTCACAGTATATAGAAAATCACAGCGGTCTAACCGTTTTCTCACCACTTCATCGTAGAGTCGCATATGTCTTTTCATCAATATCATGAAGTGCATGCGTCATATCATGAAGGGCTTTAAGGTATTGCAGTGATGACCGATATTTCAGGGGTGGTATCAAGCACATTTCATCTCCCCTTAAAAATGGATATACCAAATATTTAATTGATTCGGTACTTAAATGCCCCAGGTTTGGTCCTGCCCCTTCTTTTCAGTTTTTCATTTTGATTCCACCATTTCCATGCCATATATATCAGGCATATCGGAAAAAATTAGACGTTATTTAAACACTTACTGTCCTAACATATTTTTCTGTAGGGGATAACAGTGTACGAAAACTATTGTACAAAAAGCTCGATTCTCGCCCCAGCTTGGAGAGTTAAAATGTGGTCCGTAAGATAGCTTTCAATAGCTGTGACCTTATAAACATTGGCAAGACGCGTCGAGGGTTAAAGTCAGATTAACGTATCACGGGAGTGCCATTAAGAACCGTAACGCTGACCATTATGGTTGGTCATGTCCTTGAGAATGGTCATGATTGTAACAACAGTGATGTAACGGTTGTCGATCGACACCGTGACAAGCTGAAGATTATAATGTAGGAGCCGCTGCCCATCGCTGCGTTAAAAATGATGCTTGTAACCGATCCGTTTGCGACACTGACATTTCCGTAGCGTGGAGCATGGTTCCTGGCTTGATGGAAGAAAAGAGCTAGCTTCCAGCCAATCGGGTCAATTACCAAATGACTAAGCAATATGTCGTTGTTTCGTGTTCTTTCCCCGATGATGACCGATGCAATTCGGTTGAAACGGTGTAATTGTTGTAAATAAAACTTTTATCGTGTTTTCCCGTGCTGCCAACCATAGAATCAGAAGATTTATCAAGCATGGTATCGGTTTGAGCTTTGGAAAATATTTGCGTATTCGGGTATTCGTTGAACAATCCTAATATACGCTTTTAACATGAACATCAATTTTGGTACAAGTTTCTGTGATGTCACGGCAGACTAGCATAAGTTGAGATAATTCATTTGATAAGCAACAGGTAAGCATGCTCACCCGAATGCTTTTGGTATTCGCTTTTTCGCAGTTACCTTCCCTCCTTAAACTTTGACTATGATTTGATCATGAGCTGCCCTTCTCATCCGATACTATCTACTCTTTACTGGGACCACGACAGAGACGTTCAGTCAAGCCAATCCAAGAATCGGTTGGTTCGACAAACGTGATTGTTTGTGATGTAGAATTTTTTCTGGTGTATGAACAGACTTATTTTGTGCCGTTTTGGTGCAGATCAGCACTCGCTTTTACGTTTCGTCTGTGTGTTTGCAAGTTTAAATCTACGTGATTGGCAGATGTTCTTTGCAATTAAAAATTTGATTTACCCACCATGTTACGTGTGAATGGGAAGATTTTATCAAACTTGTGAACTTCAGCGGTTTACAATATATTTTCTGTTTTGATTGTAGCATCTGCGTCTGGACAGTAAGAGCATACGCCGTCTTTGTCGCTAGTTTGAATCTCTGTGATCGTAGCAGATTTGGAATACGACTTTTAAGTGATTTGTAACACCGATGAAAATAGAATGGTTTTATTAAACTGAGTCAATCAAAAGTTGAAGCTGGTCGTGTAGGCAGTAATTCACTGCTTCTTTTGCTGTACGACCTCTGCGAACCCCAGCATTGTTTGCGGTTAACCGCAGGTTGTTTGCAGTTCACCATTAGCACACATTCAGTTCCCGCCGAGGAAGAACAGTGAAATGCCGTTCACGAAACGTTCATGTTAAAGTTTTGTTCGATTAGGTTTCTTGGAAGTGTTTTCTTTGTGTTGTGTTACAGACCGTTTCTAGGAAGTGTTTTCTTTGCGTTGTGTTACAGACCGTTTCTAGGTTAGGCTAATCTCTGACTGCCCACCCACATATAAAATGATGTGTGATTAATTGACAAATATCACTTTCTATCCCCTTTAGATCTATTTCGTGACTTGTAGATCATTAGAAAGCTTTGTCTGAGCACAATACGATACTTTTGTAAAATTGATTGTTAGCTTATATCACTTGAAAATTTCGTAAACGATTTTAATTATGCTTTTCTGTTGTTTGCGAAACGCATTGGTTGAATTCCATATCGTGGAATGGGACGTTTCCAGTTTTGAATGTTCGAGGAAGCCCGTCGCAAAGTTACGGCCAGAGTACTACACGTTGACGTTAATCATTCACCGATCTGTACCAAAAGGAACCACCCTGAAGCTTCCCGTGTCGGCTGAATGGGCCATTTCAATATGCAGTCGAGCTAGTTGCCACTATCCGTTAATTACGAAATTGAATTTAAACCATTGTCGTATAGAAGAGAATCATTCGCAGATTTTGACTTTAAGTTATCATTCCGAACTTGTCAAATCTGAGCATTCAAATTAAGGTTTATTATGCCTCCTAGACTTCTAAATGCTTTGATTTCGGTATACGTTTACCATATGTTGCTGGATTTTCAAAATGGAGTCGCGCCCAACGTGAAATTTTTGATGTAATTGGCGATGTTCACGGCATTCGGACCAATCTTATTCAAAGCGTACAGATTTGATGACTGTAAATACACCCAGAAGGTCTTTGCTGCTCTAATGAATTTATCGTTCCGTGGACTTAAAGATAGAGTATTTTGTTCATGCTTTGGTTTGCATTAATATTTTTAAGTCTTACGGTGGAACTTTTAATTTCATTAATTAAACTTGTATGGAAAGCACAAATTCTTTTTTCGAGGATTCCGGTGGCCGAACATTGAGAACAGTTTCTGATTTCGTCTTCACGATGCCGTACACATGGCTTCTCACTGGCAGCAATATTTTCTTTGTCCCTTTGTTAACCTAATATGAAAATGATGCAAAACACTTTTATTTCCCACAGCGACAAATTTTAGTCTCTGTATTCGAGCGCATGCAACTATCGACACTGTCGTTATGTATCCAATGTCTGAAGTAAATTATAAAATGATTGCTTCAGCGATGGCGCCTTATTTTTTAGGGTTGGATGAACTGCATCGCTGGACCGTACGACCCTGCCACCTATCACGTGAAGTACACGCACACCGTGTTTGTTCAGTTGGAAAACGAAGAGCTGCATTTGTCCATACCGAGGAATAACATTCATCGCCATGCGACGTTCAAGTGCTTTGACTATGATGCTTCATTCGACAAAGAGCAGATGTTTGATCTGAGAGGTAAACGGGCTATCTGTATGATCATGCATCGCTTTGGTGCGTATGTTCTGATTGACACCAAACTTAGGTGCAAGCGGTTTCGTGAGTGGTGTAAACGTTTGTACTCATTTTCTTCCGTTACTGTCACTAAAAAATCATTTGTTTCCACTTTTGGATGCGCCAAAAACAAGAGCGTAATCTTCTCTGAAGGCTGTTGTTTCCAACTGCATTGACTTTCCACATCATCATGGTATCGAATTGCTTAGGCAGGAAAAGAAACGGTACACCTATCTTCGATTTGCGAATTTTCTCTACACGAACCATATAAATTTGACCTATTTTTCAACGAACGTTGTTTTCCCTAAATAAAGAACCAACCTTCGTTGGAGTATCTATCCTCTTCGTAAGACCGGAGATGCCTAGTTAGTTGAGCGTCAGACTTAGAACCAAGAGAAATACCGAACTCGATCCTCGGTAGAATAGCTCGCCTTTCATCCTTGTGAGGTTGATTTGGATGACAAGGAAAAAGAAGACTACATAATGTAATTGCCGAACAGTTATGTCGATTCTGGCACTACTGGCTAATGGCATGGAAATGGACATCAGCGTCCCATATGAACCTTATGAAAAGAAGGGCGCAGAAATGGCCCCATCGTTTTGCCCCCTCCCCCCCCCAACCCGAAGAAGATCGACATTCCAACGGTTACTAACTTTTCTTTTCTCTATACCGTTAAACGTCTTGAATTCTGCTATTCACAACTGGCACATACTAGAAGCTACTGTGATCATTATCATCCTTTATCATGACGACGGCGATCTTCCTACCCAGGTCATCGATTTTCATAATATTTGTAAATATTTGCGGACGTTCAAAGAATTTATTCACTTTTAAAATCGCCAAGATGCTTTCCACAAGTCATAAGTGAAACAAAAATTGTAACGACGGTGGGCATTTTTACAGCCTGAAATTTTTTAGGTGTTTAATGTATAGATGTGCAATTGCCACACTGATCGGGAATCTCTCACTGCAGTATATTAAAGCTCAATGGCTCATACCCATGAGGCTAATATAAATAACAACTGATTTTGGAGTACACGTTGAAATTTTCAGAGAATATTGAAGTGCTGTGGTTTTCTAAGCACTTTGAATATGACGGAGCGATCGTAAAGTGCTTCTAGCTTCTTTTCACAATGTTGTTTAAACAGTGTCAAGATAGACCATACCATGAAGTTTTCACTCTGAGGTTAATATTATTCAGTTGTAAGGTTCCAAAATATTAGAATACTTTTGCGGCAGGTGTAAGTAATTACGTTATTGTGCTAATGGGAATATCATCCAGTGTCATCACTGAGTCTAAGTTATGAGCACTTAAGGAAATGTGCAATGTTTAGGTGAGACATCCAGGTGGTTCAAGCATTGCACTCATATTACATCGTGCAGATTTTGTCTAAGACTCAACTTGGACAGGCATTTATCCGGATAACGCACTGCTGTTTGTGTGTTATATATCAGGCTTAAAGTACGCATAGTTGCTTATGGAGCTGTAAAAGGGCGTACAGGCTTTTCCCGAAATAATCTTGTTTCGGACGGTTATTGCCGCAATAAATGCCGACAGGTTGAGTTTGCATGATGGAGGTGGCAAATCAGTGACATAAGTTCCAGTCGCAACTCCGGATGATAAACGGCATCGCTCACTGCTGATAGTTCTCACTTATCATCTTAATGTAGTTGATGTTTTGGACCAAATGTGACAGAGTGTCCAGTACTCTTTACATCTTAACTGCGTAGAATTACTACGACAGGTCCCACCAGTTGATCTCTGAGTGATGGATTACATAATTACCAGCCCGTAAATGATCGATTTAATAGATGGCACCTTCGACTCTGACAGCGACACGTTGGCAACATTAGCGATGGCAAACATGGATTGGCTTTAGCATTAGAAGAACATGTAATAAAGAGCCGGTCTGGCGTTGAACATATATATATATATATGTAAAGTTACCGCTTCGAATAGGAAGTGGTGCGTCTCAGCCACACATGACGACAAATCTGCCTCTGACCGGTTGAACTCTTACAGCAGCAGATCCGCTACGCTGACTGCTACAAAGTTCATTAAGTACGTACTGTCTTAGGTTCTGGATACTCAAGGTAGTGCCTGCATCATTGTTCCATCTTCTTGCAGTATTGACAAACATTCCCAAAAATATAGTCGGTAGAGTTTAAGTGATGACGACATCCTGCTGTGCCATGGCGTTTCGAGAAACCACAAATGAAGCTGCGATTATAGTATTGCTGATCCCCTGGATATCATGACAAGATCAGTGCTGTTCCACAGTGTACTCTGAAGGATTGAAACGCTAATAATCGGTATATTATCCAGTGGCTTGTTGAGATTGTAAATGAGGCTATCTACTCTAAAGGCGATAAACCTTTTAATGCTCACGTGGTTTGTGGATTTTCACAAATCCATATGATTGAAGAACACAGTGATGAACTACCGTTAAATCAAACTCTTAAGGATGATTGCCACTAGTTTACGTTTCTACCTCTTCAGAAATTTCTGTTTGGTCAAACCGACCGATTGTCATATTTCGATTGACAGTAGAATCAGGTCATTTCTGAGGTCTTTTTCTTAATATTTTGCAGTCCCTCACTTTGATAGTACGAGAGTGTTCCATTGGAGGTTTTTAATTTGATTGTGAATTATTGGGTAAATCCCATTCAATATATATATTGTTCATTTTTGTCGTTCATCTCTTTCAGCAAATACATTTTGAAACCTTTGATATTAAACAAGAATAGGGTAGAGGTATGAGAACATGAGGAAGTTTCGACTTGGGGAGAGGTTCTCTACCTCATTAAAGTAGTATCACTGAGGTTAACATACAGTGAATTTTCATTAATCTTGCCCTCAGTCTGTATGCATTTTATATCTTTTATCCTGTTATTTTACTTCATAGAACGTAAGCTAAGTTTTGTTAAGTATTCAGTGTTCTTTTTCCACGTGTTTATACTGTTGATCAAAGCTTATCAGCTTGAGTTGTATAGAAGTGTACGTGATTTTTGATTGTCAGCGGTAAGGCTTTGTACAGAGTTCGAAAACGAATACAGATCGGCATTTCACTGCATTTCTGCCTAAAGAAACTTTACAGAAAGAACCTCTAAGAGCACAGAGCATGGTTTAATACTCACCGTCAAAAGCCCTTGAAACTCTACCAACCTGCTACCTTGAAGAAGGCTCATGAAGCGCAGGGTCGACTGGTCGGTAGAGGTTAATCATCTGATTGGCCATATTTTGTACGTTGTATGTAAATTAAATGTTTGTGTTGTTTTTCAGTATGATCACCAACTCATGAAAGAAGTACTCTGTCTGAAGTAACTTCTGTTAAACTACTGTTAACTGTAGTTACATGATATTCGTCCCAAATATTGCTTTTTAGACGTCGAAGTTGTATTTTGAGAAATTTTAGAAATGCATTTAGGCGCTATGGTGACGCTGAGGCCGAAGCGCTTGGCGCACCGACGGTGGTGGTCGCGTAAATACCCGATCTGCATCAAACTGAGACGACCACCGGCCGACAGTGACGAAAACATGTACACGACCGAAGAAGATTTCGATTCGGCAGGTACGGTCATCGAACCAACCGGAAAAGGTAGCACTATGGCAAAACTGAGTCCGTTGTCATGTGTATAACTTCGCACTTAGATCATCGGTTAGGAGGTGCCACGAGGCAGGCGTCTTTGTCGGACTCTGATCTTTGTTCAACGCTTCGAACGAAGTCACGGAAAAACCGTTTCTACTGCTTGATGCTGTTCGCGCGATCGAGTAGGGAAAAGGAGCACTGGTTCCACAAGTACGGAGAGAGTATCTCAGCTGTGCTGAATTATTTGACGTCCTCGTCTCCGCAATCGTATTTAGAATCAGACGCGTGGTTTGCCAGCATCGAGGCCGCATGCTGACGGGAAGCTGTATGGATATTTACCTTGCGGTTTCGACGGATAGCGAAGAGGCTGAGTGCGAAACGAAGATCGACTGGCGCCGCAACTCGCCTTCAGTCGAGTACATTCTTTCATGGCTGATTCACGAACAATATCGTCTGTAAGTCGTACGTTATTCTGTTCTTGTCACGGTCTTCTGTTGTCTTGAATTTTTGCTACCCGAAGAAGGTCCCTAACTTAGCTACTTTTGCACAATGTTGTAGTTTTACAATATTTACAGATATTCAAAAAATCACCGGAAACTAAGCATAACAAATGAATGATGAAAATGCAAGCTAGAAGATGATAGTGTGTTGATTCCATGCCTAACAGAACTAAAGACAAGAAAACATTGTCTGACTGGTTCGACGTTTTGACCGAACTGACATGTATCATCATTACTGTAGAATTCTGCCAGAATTTGGGGTGCCTTTCGTGCCGTTGACCATCAAATATGATTGAAGAAGCACGCGCTCTCGGTCATTCGAAACCAGGTACCAATGTGGATTTAAGAAGTTATAAGTATAAAGCAAAACGTACAATTATTGCTCACTGAGGGAGATTGGAAAAGCCAACCTGACGCCCCTGGGGTTTCTGAGCATCCGTTGAAAGCGGAATGAACGACGTGTCATTGGGCTCCCGGTGCAGAAATGCCTGTGTTAATGTCTGGATGGCAGAACGCCTGGCGAACACCGTTCGAGATTGTTATGCAGAGGTAGAATCGTCGTCAAGAATAGGGGTGACAAGACGGACTCTTCCTGAGACTCATGACTTCACTCATGACGTGCCTAAATTATTGCTTTTAATTCAGACAATTTAGTTTTGAGTTTGGCTTCAGCGATTGCTTCAATTCAGTAAAGCCTGGTTCATTCAGAACTGTTTAATCCGAAATTTCGGTAAAATTGAGATTTTCTTTTAACTTTAAGACGATTAAACAAATCTGATCGAAGGTGCATGGAAAATTCGATTTTTCTGGAAATGTTTAAAGCGAAAGTAATTTAGGTCCGGTTTCATGATTTCAGAGCATTTCATTTTGCGTAATTCTAAATCATACAATTTTAAAAGAAATGTTTTTGAAATTATGAATCTTCTTCCAACGCCTGTCTTCGCTTACCACAAAGCGTTGACTAGGTAAAACATGATTTAGTGATGCAGTTGTACTTCGTAACAATAGGTAGCTGTAGCATCGTAAGGCACAGCTAGCTTCAGTCTTTCATACTGAACTTGATGACGGTCTGGGTTCGCAGTTGCACCGTGCATACATTATCCACTTCTCTCATAAGCGAGTCCGTCTTTGAAAAGCATTCTTGTCGTTACTTTATTTTAAGTGCGTTACTTTTAGTTTCTTCGGCGTTATTCTTTTTAGTTTTATGTAAATATAGTGTTCCATAAAACAATTTTAAACTTGGCCAACTGTGTGTTCGGCAAGCAGTAAACATGTTTTCGTCCATAGTTGTAATCTGTGATGCAGGCCTGCAACCACCCTGACTCGTCAACTAGCCATATTTATAATAAATGATAATGATATATTTCAGGTGTAATCGGCTTATAAGCTGACATGTGTTTCAGCATATAAGGTGCAAGAAACGTTACGAAATCAGTACCTAACTCGGGCACTTTGTTTGAAATTCGTCGACATTTAATGGACAGTACAAGGAGCAGTTGAACTGACTGCCACCAAGCCGCAAGTGTTTGAGAGTCATCACTTGAAGATTCCATCATATTCATCTTCCTCACCGCTTCTCCTTACCGGTCACGGAGGCGCGTCAGACAGAGCTTCCAACGTTCCCGATCATGTCCCAGAGTCTGAGCTTCGACAGAAGACAACTGTTGTCTGGGACAGACTCCTTCCATATATTTGCACCAGGTTAATCTTGGCCGTCCCCTGGGCCTTCTGCGATCGAATTGGCAAGAAACAATTCCTTAGCCTTCCTTGAAGCATTCCCAACACATGGCAAACCGTCGCAGCTGTGACTTCTCAGTCTGAGGAAGCAAGGGCTGTACATCAAAGCTCTAATGGATATCAGTATTCCGGACCATCTCGAGACTCGTAAGACCAGCTACTCCTGTAAGAAAGCCCATTTCAGTAGCTTGTACCCGGGTTCGAAGTTTTTTCATGATGGTCCACGACTCATGACCGCAGGTAAGCATGAAGATAAAGATCGACTTGAACACCGAGAGCTTGGTTTTCAGACTGAGCTCTGTTTTACTCACAATGGGTCGGGCTAGTTCACGCAGAATGCCACTGGCTACCCCAGTTCGCCGGTACATCTCTTCCTCCAACTTTCCATCACTACTAAATATAGTTCCGAGGTACTTAGACTTCTCCACGTGTTCTACTGCTTCTCCGCTAATCTGAAGAGACCAATGGGCAGGAGAACGAGAAAGCTCTAGGCTTTTCGTTTTAGATGCGTTCACACGCATGCCGGTCACGTAACACTCAGCTGCGAACCTTTCTTGGGAGCACTGAACATCAGTTTCAGAACATGTTAATAAAACAAGGTCATCTGCAAACACCAGCCTTCTCGTCTTCACATCTCTTATACCGATACAATCATGGCCTTGGCAGCTCCTGATTATTCTATCCATGTACAACACAAATAGGATAGGGGACAGCACACAGCCATGGCAGAGACCAGTGCCAACTTTGAATGGTTTCGACTTAGCGCCATTAACTCCGACGCGGCACCTGCTATCAGAATACAGTGATTGGATGGCCCTGGCCATCTATCCCGTATGCCCGAAGGCATGACTATTGCAGACTATTGCGTGGGATCCGATCATAGGCTTTTTCTAGGTCCACAAAACATGTACACCGGACGGGCGTACTCCCACAATCTGGCGCAGGGCCACTATGTAGTTAGAGGTGCTTCGACCGGGCCGGAAGCCAAACTGCTCCTCTTTTATATTCAGGTCATTTATTTTGCGGCACCTCCTTTCTAACACCTTTGCGTAGACTTTACCTGGGAGGCTTAGTAACGTTATGCCCCTATAA